GTGTACCCAGAAGTGAGAGTGCTAGATCATACGGTGGTTATAGCCTTCATTTCTGGAGGAGCCTCCATCCTGTTTTCTATAATGGCTGTACTAATTTACATTCCCTATAATAGTATACAAAGGTTCCTTTTTCCATCCTCAACATTTATCTTCATTTTCGTTTTTGATAAAAATCATTCTAACAGGTAAGAGGTGATACCCTGTGGTGGTTTCATTTGGGACTTCTCTAATAACTAATGATGCTGAACAGATTTTCATACACCTGCTGGTCTTTTGTGTGCATATCTGATAAATGTCTATTCAAGTTCTTTGTCCATTTTTATTTATTTTTTTTTCCACTATCGAGATGTCTGAGTTCCTTATTATATATTTTGGGTACAAACCCTTTATCAGATGTATAGTTTTCAAATACTCTCCCCACTCCCTGGGTTGCCCCTCACTCTGTGGACTGTCTCCTGAGATTGGGAAGTTGGGTTTGGTGTAATTCCAGTTGCCTGCCTTCCCTTTGGCTGCCTGTGATTGGGGATCATACTCTTGGAGTTTCTGAGTCTCAAACGCATTAGAGATATCACTTGCTAGGACAAAGTCCTACGAGGATCTGCCCTATGGACAGACCCAGAGCGGCACTTTTCAGGAAGTCTGGTCCCTAACATCGGCCACCCCGTGACAATGCCCACTCAGGGGCACAAAGTTCTGCTGTGAGGAGAACTTCCACACCGACTCAGTTACTTTCAGCTAACAAATAGAAGGACGTTTGTTTATTTTTCTTTCAAAATGAGTTATTCTCTTAGCATCACCCAAAGATTTTTCTTCTTTTTATGGATCATTATGAATCCTGGATTGAAACAAATCTGATGTATTTTAATTCACAATTCTTACCAATGCTCAAGTTCTCCATCTTTGGCAAAGAGAGCCTCTTGAAGTCTTCTCCTGGGCCTGCCCTTCCTACAAGCCCTCAGTGGTCTATGAGAACTGGCCTGGTACCAGGTATGACAAGATGCCACCACTCACCTTGCAGTTTCTGTCCTAAGCCTGCAGTCAGCCATTTCTCCAGGGAGTTCCTTTTAGTAGAAACTGATATTGGAGGGTCACGGTTTCGGCTCAGCTGCCTCTTGGGAGAGTTCACCCGTTTCCTGGCTGCACAGCACAGAAATTAGGGTATGGGTGTCTCTTGCCTAAGTTGAAAAAACAGACATTGACCAATGCTTAAGTATGAAAGGGGAAAATTCCTTTTGCCTCACAAAGATTTCACAATTGTTTCTCAATTTGAAGCAGTGCTTTTCCACCTTGCCTGCATACTGGAATTCTCTAGGGAGCTTTAAAAGATGCTAGTGCCTGGATCTACCCCCTGACTCTGGTTTAACTGGACAAGGACCAGGTTGAGCAGCAGGGCTGTGCCGGTGTGCAGCTCCCACAAGAGCTGTCGTGGGTACATGGTCACAGCGTACTTGTCTCACGCTGTACCGCCCCTGTAGGAAGCCTGGAGCAATGCTGGGAGTTTTATGTAAGCACACCCTACTGCACTGTCATTCTGAGTTGGCTTTCCCCTGAGCACGCAAGTTGCCACGTACAGCTCGAAGCTCATTCCTTGTGACCGTCACCACCTGTCTCATTCGGCTCTTTCACAGCGAACTCCCGGTGATGTGCAGTCCGCTGTTCAGGCCTGAACTCCTCTCACTCCCCACGCCCCCTGAGCTCCACCTTCACACAGAGCCAGCACCTGGCACCCTCAGCCCTCCCTGCACCGGCTCCCACCACTGTCCTGTCCAGCTGGTCATTGCTGTCATTCTTCGTGTCTCCCTGCCACCCCCTTTGACCACCCTCTGTAATCTGTCACCAAGTAGCCAGACACTGGGAACTGGTCACGTCACTCCTAAACCTTCCGGCAGCTTGCTCCCTGCATAGCCCCTATCTCGCTCGGTCAGTCCCGAGCCTGTCCCCTCCACCCCTGGTCTTACCTGCCTCTCCTCCGCATCTCGCTCGAGCGGATTGTGCTCATGTCTCCTGACATTTATCTCCTCCATGAGCTAGAGAGCGTCAGAGCAGGACAGCACTCCCAGCAGGCCAGATGCTGTGACCTGCCCTCCCCCAGCCAGCCTGGATCTGGGCACTCAGGGAGGTCCATGGGCCTGAACCCGAGTCTTCCTGGTGGGGCTGCCTTGCAGTGTCACGCTCCTCTGCTATGCCTCTGGCTGGCCCTCGTCACTCCTGTTAACTCCTGAGCACAGCAAGGCCAAGCCTATCTCTGGGCCTCCGTACTGTACTGTCGTACACCCAGGTCCTCACTCCCTTCCTGTGTCTGCTCAGACCTCACTTTATAGGAGACGCCCTCCCTGGCCAACCAGGGTAGTGCATGCTGACCCTTGCCCATGCTCAGTACACAAGGCAAGGAGGACTGCACTCCTCCCCACCCCCTGCCGCGACGGGTCCTAGGCCACGCGGAAAGGTGGCGGGTAACTCGAAGGAGCCCGTCACCCCCATGCAGAGAGCCACCCATTACCGTCCTCTAAGGTGACCACTTCCAGGCAAAACACAAACTTTTCCTTTAACCTGCTAAGGACTTGTGGGGCGAACAGAACAAGTCAGCTTCCTTTGCCCCTCTCCCCCCAAACACAGGCTCATGATGCACACGTGCCGCTTGCCCGGGCAGTAGCAGCCCCAAGCGGAGGAGGGACTACAGCTCAGAGAAGCTTCCAGCCTCTGCCCTCTGGGGACACCTCCCTCTGCTCCCACAGAGCCCTGCAGCATTGCTGACCTGCCCCTTCCCCTCCCGCTCCCACAGACAGCTCTCTCTGGGAGAAGGGCACAGATGAGCCCCTGCTCCCGAAGCCCAGCCTGCATGCTGGGCCCTGGTTACAGAGCCAGCAGACAGAACGGACCGGCCTGCTCCCTGCTCCTGCACCGCCGCTCTCCCCAGTCCTGGACGGTCCTGGAAGCTGGGCTCCAACTGACTCACATCACGCCATCTGTCCCAAAGACTTCTTCCCACAACTCGTCCGAGTATCCAGCGGCCTGGTCTGGGGAAGGTCCCAAGCGGGAGTACTGGCTCCCAGACGTGGCCCTGAGTCCCAGAAGGTTCGCAGCCTTGGCTCCACAGTAGGCCCGTCAGGGGCCCCGAGCACTGACTGCTGGGTCCCATCCCACGGGTTCTGGTCTCAGGGGCCAAGACAATGGAAATTTCCAAGCCTCCCCAGACAATCTGCAAATGCACAAGGTCAGGCCCACGCTCCAGCTCACAGTCTGACTCAGCTAGTACCGGAAGAGTAGGTAACCGGGAAGTTAGTGCCACCAGGACCCTGGATGGCGCTCCGGCCAGTCCAGAGATTAGCGCCTTGCTTTGCCAGGTCCTGATGACCTACATCTGTGTGACCCCTGGGACCAGAGCATCAAGCCCACCAAGCGTGTTAGAAAGGCAGGCACCTGCCCCAAACCCGTGTCTCGACCTGCAGAAGCCTGACACGAGAGGCTGTCCAGCGCCACACAGACCCAGCAAAGGCCCCGTTTCTGAGCGCTCCAGGCCGCTCTGGCCTGGGAGACTCCTGGCTACCAAAAAAGAAAATTAAATTAAAAAAAAAAAAGACTCACCTGCTTTTTCTAGCCAATTCGGATCACAGGGAGAACCTCCCCTTTCGTAGAGTGTTTGTTTTGTGGGATGGACAGCTGCAGACTCTCTCCCTCTGTGACCACACGTATCTCCTACAGCCCAGGAGTCTGGTTTTCAAGCACCTGGAAACCTCCAGTCTCAGGGCCTAGCCTAACTGACAAGCTGGCCAGTCAGCAGACTGCCTGCTCACACTGACTATATGAACTCTTGTAATTTTCCACTTCCCTACTCTGCCCGGCCCGTTTCCATCTTCCTTCCCTAGCCCACTCTCCTGTTAAACTCCAGGGCCTCCCGCAGGGGCATGGGGCACTCAGCTCCATGAGGAACGCCCTGCGCAGCTTTACTGTCAGCTCTGTCCCTCTAAGGTCCCTTCCGACCAGACCCTTGGGAGCCTGTGCAGACAGGCCCTCAGAGCGCTTGCGGCACTGGCCTCCCCCGTAAGGACTCTGAGGAAGCAGCCCTGAAGGGCAGGCGGCAGGAATTCTCCGCTGTTATCCCGGGAGTGGGGGGCGGTGCTTTGCTGTGGTCAGTTAAGCTGGGACCTGGACCCACCTCATGCCCGATGCAGTGGCCTTTGCCGGACGCTGTGCTGCACCCAGGAGCAACCCGGGTCAGAGTCACAGTGAGGTTCCTGCCGACCCACCCACCGACGCAAAGCCCTCTCACTCTGGCCTTCTGGAGCTGCAAGGGCACTGCTCAGAGCAGTGTTTTCAGGCTCCAGAGAGCTCTCAGGGGTCGCCCGGTCAGAGATTGCAGCTTCTGCAGACAAGCCACGGCACTAGCTGCTACGAATACTGAGGGGGTGTGTCGCCCCGGCCT